AGGTTAACTTTGAGGCCCTTGAACACTATAAATGGATACTCGGTAGAGTTCGTTCAAATGGAATGAAGGTGATGCTAACTTTGTTTCATCATTCATTGCCGCCTTGGGCTGCTGCTTATGGTGGCTGGAAAATTGAGAAGACAGTCGACTACTTTATGGAGTTTACCAGGTGACTGTCTTCAAATGAACTTTCTAAAGATGATGCATTTATAGGTCTAAATCATCTTTCTGTAACATGCTAATTTGCCAGGCTTGTTGTGGATTCCATGTTCGATTTGGTAGACTCTTGGGTAACATTTAATGAACCCCATGTCTTCACCATGCTTACCTACATGTGTGGATCTTGGCCTGGTAACAACCCTGATTTTCTGGAGATAGCTACAGCTACTCTACCAATGGGTGTATTCCATCGAGCCTTACACTGGATGGCTGTTGCTCACTCAAAGGCCTACGACTACATCCACGGGAAAATGTTAGTTTTTCTCCATTTTCTCAAAAATATATATGACTTTCTCTCACTAGCATATCTTAATAGTTCCAACTCTTATTTGGCAGTTCCTTGAAAAAACCTTTGGTAGGGGTTGCGCACCATGTCTCCTTTACTCGGCCATATGGTCTCTTTGATATTGGGGCCGTTACTATTACCAATTCCCTCGCTATATATCCATATGTTGATCACATTTCTGAGAAGTTGGATTTCATAGGCATCAACTACTATGGACAGGTAAGAGAGCTAAGAGTTAAAAATGCCTTTAGGAATTCAATTTGGATCTATAAAATTGCTTTTTTTAATAACTATTTTTGAATTTGACTCTGGGAAATCAGGAAGCAGTGTCTGGTGTTGGACTAAAGCTTGTAGAGACTGATGAATACAGTGAATCTGGAAGAGGGGTATATCCCGATGGTCTCTACCGCGTGTTGTTGATGTTCCACGAGAGATACAAACATCTGAAAATTCCTTTCATCATCACAGAAAATGGCGTGTCTGATGAAACAGATGTCATTCGGCGACCTTACCTGATCGAGCATCTTCTTGCCATTTATGCTGCAATGCTAAAGGTTTTTGTCCCTGAAACTCTGAATCATCCAAACATTATTCCTGCTTAACTATTGGTACTTGGTAGCGTTGTTGTGTTGGGCTGACCCCGCCTGTTTTCCTGGCCTGTTATGACCTTAATCTCAGCTTCAAAACGACCTTAGGTATTGACATATCTCTCACTGTGTTTGTGGCTTTCATGACAGGGTGTTCCGGTGCTCGGTTACATATTCTGGACTATTTCTGACAACTGGGAATGGGCAGATGGATATGGTCCAAAATTTGGGCTTGTTGCAGTTGATCGAGCCAATAATCTTGCCCGAACCCTTCGGCCATCGTACCATCTCTTTTCCAAGGTTGATCATTATAAACCTTTGTGATTACCACTAAATCAGATCGCTTTTCTTCTCAATTGGCTTTCCTACTCTCCAGATAGTGAAAAGCGGCAAAATCACTCGAAAAGATCGGTCTCTTGCTTGGAACGAACTCCAAAAAGCTGCCAAACAAGGAAAACTACGACCATTCTACCGAGCTGTTGATAAAAATGGTCTAATGTACGCAGGTTGGTTACATCTTCAACATTAAGTTTTTCACCTTTTTCGATTTTTTACTTTATAATCTTACCTTTCGAGGTTTTGGATTGTTAATTTTTTTTAAAGATGGTCTCGACAAGCCTCAATGGAGACCGTTCGTTGACCGTGACTGGCGGTTTGGTCACTACCAAATGGATGGTCTTCAAGACCCGCTCAGTCACGTGGCTCGAACCCTTCTGATATGGCCGCTTGTCATGAGAAAGAAGATAAGAAAAGTTAAGGTCAATCACACAGATGATTCTGGGTTCATTCTACGACATGCTTTGCTCTCACCCCTTGACTAGACAGAAAGAGTTCATTTCCTGTATGATTTGCCAAAACATTTGGCGCAATTAGAGACACGATTTACCGGTTTGGTGTTATGTTTAAATGAAGGCAAAACGGCACGATGTTCGAGCATATAGCCTCTGAATTAGGCTCAGTCGCGTGGCTCGAGCCCTTCACTTGTTATTTTTAGTTCTTGATGCACAAAAAATACCACTCCCTTAACGCAACAATTTTAAATTGATAATCTTAGATTTTGTCTTGTATTCTCACTTGGTTAAACAGAGCAAACAGCAGTCTTAGAAATGGACAAAAATACTAACATATCTCTAAGCAAATGCAAATCAGCAGTCATAAGATAACATTTGAAATATTGGAAACAAAAAAAAAAAAAGAGTATACAACATTGGGGTCCTTGAAACTAAGGTACTGGAAATAAAATAAAACAGAGTCAAATAGTACTTGAAATGAAGTTAAATGGTAGGATTCTTAAAGAAAGCAATGGTCTCGATGTGTTGAGGTGAGATACGTACATGACATTCATCCTTGTCGACGAATCCATAGGAGCGCCTAAACTCTTGATTGTCTCCAATTCCTTGGAGCCTAACTCTTTTGGTGTTTCTTGTTTCAACATTGTAGTAAAAGATGTAAAAAGGTTGAACATCGCGTGAGAGTATCGTTGGGGCCATAATGATCTCGCCAGCCTTGTTGGTGCCTGGAAAAGACATTCTGAAACCACCAAAAGAATCCCACACAGAAGGAGGAATCTCACATGTTTTCTTTGACCATTCATGTTTCTCGACGTCTTCTAGTATCCATAAATCAAAACGTTGAAAACGATTATAAAGGTCTGCCACAATGGAAGCTAGCTTCCCTTTGTATCCTATTGATGTTGCATCATTCTTGTAATGATGGATTTCCGGAGGTGATTTGATATAGCTTAGCTTCTCGGATCTAACATGAAAACACACAATACCTGGATTCATAGGTGGTTTTGGGCTAAATGCACCATAGTAGACAAACCCGTCGATGCTTACTGCCATTGATACGGGAGTATAACAAGGCGTGGTAGAGGGAGGTTCAATGTGTCTCCATCCTCCATCTTGTCCAATTGTTGACACCTCGTGCACTAGAGAATCAATTGGTCCACATGGAATACTAAAGTACATGGATAATGCTTTGTGTTGATCATCAGTCGGATCGTATCCCACATATCTGACCCGATCGGGTACGTAACGATTTGCTCAGTGGAAGGGTTACATATCATGGTCCCACCTGAAGCTTTTACAGCGAGAAAGCCATGGAGAGAAGTACAAGACCCTAGGCGGCTACTAAAGCCCACGCAAGGTAATGCCAATGTCGAAACTTGGTACCAAAGAAGAAGAGTTTTCCTCTTCCTCGTAGGAGAAGAGGAAGACAAGGCTCTCCGCATCCGAGTTGAAGAGTCCGTTACTCAAAGCAACTACAAAACGAGGCCTTGTTGAGGAGATAGAGAAGAAAGAACGAACGAAATCAGGGCTTCGGATGATGGAAGACCACATCCTGGACACGCATCGGAACTTGGCAGGCAATCTAGTCAGTATCTCCAGCTTTAGCTCAAGTGGGACCGAATCTAACATACTTTGGTTTGTGTCTTTCTCATCTAACTTACTTTGGCTTGTGTCTTTTTCCTTGTCCTTGTTACGATATCTTTTTCCAACTATTTTATGATTAAAAAAAAAATAGAAAAAGGAAAATATCAGCGAATTTTCTTCTTCTGATATAAAAGCCTCAAACTTTATCTTCATTAAGGCAATTTCACATGTTTAAAAGACAAAACCCTCCTCTTCCCCAATAACCAGCTTTCTCAGCAACATTAGAAGTAAGAGAGTTGAAGTTAGTTCCTACATGGTTACCAGTCACTAATGTCTCCAAACTCTTTGTTCTGGAAACATGCATGATGTTGTTTTCTGGTTTGTCATTGTTGGTTTTGTTGAGGAAAATGCTCTAAATTCCAATAACCAGAGATGTTCAAAAACACCAAATCAATGGCATGACATAAAATTCATACAAAATGTGTTAAAAAACACCAAATCAAGGACATAAAAAGCAACCAAAATGCGATTAGAGAGTAGAGATGATAATTAGTTAAAAAGACAAATCCTTCCTCTAGATCCTACGGGGGCGTGGGAGGAATCCAAAACAAGCGACCACGTGGTGGAGTAGAGTCAGATAGATAACGACGGATGGTGCGAGAGGCGAGATCGCAGACACCAAAACCGGAACCATGGCCAGCAAAGTAGACCGAGTTAGGGTTAAGACCAGGGTAGTCCTTGGAAGAGAGACAGAAAGCTTCATTGTCGCCTAAGAAAATGCAGAGATCGCCAATATCATCAGTGTAAGGACCAACCCCTTGCTCTTGATCTTGCCTAAACACCATGATCTTGTGAGTCTTCTTGCAAAGGTCTTTCTTGTTGTAACTTTTGTCTTCCCATGGCACAACTTCTCCTTTGTTTGTACATCTCTCCACAAACCTGATCACAACAAGACAAATATCTTCATCTTCAATGCCTTATATAAGTAACA